ATTGGTTGACGTGGTTAGGTGGCGTCGAGTCGGCCCGTGGCGATCGTGAATCGTATTAAGGCTCGCACCGCTTCCAAGTTCGGCATCCATCGCTGATTGTCCGAGGGCGATTTCCCGCCCAGGAAGAAGGAGACATTGCCCCGGTGAGTTTGACTAGTCTACAGCAATGCTATTCGTTGTGTGGTCCATTTCCGACATCGAAAGAGGAAGTGTTCCACGGTCTCTCTTGCTTGTCCACATATATACTGGGTCCGAGTCTGTAACGTTAATCCGATAGAGATAGCTATTGATTCTGGCTATGCCTGTCCGGAGTTAGGCTAGTACGCTCGCTTCTTTCCACGATAATCGATCATATAGCTGTCGAGTGTGTTTCCCTAGTAGTGCTGTATCTACTCGTTTCACGTGTCTTCCTACGTTCCCCGGTAAGTTATTGCTGGGAGCTGCTTGAGACCGAGCGATCTTTAGTGTTGTCGACTTCATCCTAGGGCCAGAGTTTTGTAGGGCGGCATCCTTCTGGGTCGCGGTCCTAGCTTGCTCTTTGGCTAGACCTAGTAGTTTATTGTCCGCGCTAGTAGGGACCCAGAGGATGTTGACGTGGTTTCCGTTTCTCCGTAGCCTTTTCATCAGCTTGTACGATTGGCAGACGAATTCCTGGCCCGACTATTTCCAAGGATTCCTTATCGTGAGAGCCGCTGCTTTATTACTCGTAAGCAGCGTGATCCTATAGTCTTTCAGTCCCACTAGCATATTCAATGTGTATGCCAGTGCTGCTAGCTCCGCGGAGAATGGGTTTTGCTCTAATCTTGTTCCTAGTATCGTGGAGAAGGTCTTTAGTTTTAGCTTCCGATATCGAAGTGGCTGCTTCTTAATCGCCACCCCAAAACCTACGAGGCCGTTTCGTGCGGAACTACTGACCGCCACTTACAATGATCCGCCCGGTACGGTGTACGAGTGCGGCATTCCTTTAACATCGCTCTATATACGAGTCTTCTACGGTGCTAGCACGAACGAATTAATGCTTTCTTTAGTTTCTATCTTAATGTTTTTCAGCGCGTCCGCTACCTAGTCCAGCGGCGAACGGTGGTATCTCCTGAACTTCTTCATGCAGGCTGTGCTCCTACGGAGCGGGTGGGTTTCTGGAAGGGTGTGAATATCCGTCCACATTTTCACGGCCCGTCTCCAAAAATAGTATTATGCGGTAGCAATGTGAGCCTCCGCCTCCGCTACGCTGGTCGTAACGGTAAGAAATGTCCCGACAATTACTTGCGCTCCTACCCTTTGGACTCGATTGATCGGCCCGCTGGCCTTATCCTTATAGGCGTGCATCTAGACACTAGAAGCATAGTCTACCACTAGAGCCACTATCGATGTGAACAGCTATCTTGCGGTTGCTAGTGTTAGGCCGCGAAGTCGCCGAAGCTCTATCGCTGCCACTAGTCCTTTAGATGCCGCCCTCGCGATGTGTTCCTTGTACTTAAGTCTTGTGCCTATAAGAACGCCTAGGATCTTAACATAATCTCTAGGCATAACGATCTGTCCCTTAATAGTGAAAGGCTCCTAGTCTGTTTTGTGAACTTTCGGAGCGAAGTGTATAATGGCTATTTTGTCTGCCTCGAAAGTTGCTCCACTCCTTTCCTCCTAGTCGAGCGCTTTAGCGATAATTACTTTAATACCTTCCCGATTGCTCTGCGCCGTTAGTCCGGTTACCTACGCGGTAAAATCGCCCACGAACGCGATTGCTCCGCCCTAGCTGTCGATCTATCGTTAAACGGGGTCTACGTTGAAGAAGAGGAATAAAATCGGAGATAGCGGCGAGCCCTACGGCAGCCTAGCCTATGGTAGGCTTTAGATCTCAGACAATTATCTATTAATTTGAATGGTCGCCGTTCGTTCCGAGCAGAACGCCTTAACCTACCGGAGCAGATCCTCCGGTATGCCTCGCGCTTTTATCCTCTAAAGCAATCGTTCTTCACACACTCTATTATAGGCTCCTTTGAATCGAAGCTGATTAAGCTTAATACCCGTCGGCCGCGCCACGCCGTGTAGATTTGTTCTTAAAGAAGCACGAGTGCTTACTCCGCGGACCGCTGCTTTCGGGCTCCGAATTAGCTAGTCGGGAGTAAGCCGTATGTCTCCACCGCGTGTGAGATTCTTTCTGCAACCACTGATTCTAGTATCTTGTCTAGCGTCGCGAGGAGTGAAATTGGTCTCTATGCTTTGGTAATACTATAATTTTGTTTATTCGGCTTTTTGAGCGGTATAATCTTCGCGTGTCTCTACTGCCTTAGCAACGTGCCTCCGTCTAGCGAGGCTTAGAATAGATTAAGAACCCTATACTTGACTGTGGGCCACGTCATCTTCTAGACTATTACCGGCAGGCCGTCTTCACTAGGAGCTTTCTAAGACTTCGCCGCCAATAGTTGCCGCTCTACCTCCTCCATCGTGATAGCTGGCATTTCTACCGGTGCTCTTTCTAGTCTCGTCCCTTTATCGTTAATAATGTCCGGTAGAGGCGGGAAGAATGTAGTTAGTAATTCTTCTGCTTACCCCTTATGATCGGTGGTGGTCGTTCCGTCTGCTTTTAGGAGCTACGGGACCTTTCCAAACGCTACGTCGTCTCCCGACTTTAGGTATTTTGCGGCTTTCCATATATTATCGTTGTCTGCGAGGAATCCATTCCAGTGCTTTTTCTTTTGTTACCGGATGGCATCGTGGTATTGCTTCGCTGCGCCTTAGGCTATCTCTTCTAGACGGGGTACCTTTCGTTCCGCCCGTCGCTCCGAGCGGGCGCGATTCCTCTAGTATATATATATTTAACGTAGCTATGTTAAGTCATCTGTCCACCATCGCTTTATATGTAGTGACGGTCTGGCCTTCGGGGTCAAGGCATATACCGCTTCCTAGACCGCGGACATAAGTCGATCGGTTATCTGCTACACGGTGCCCTCCAGCGGAGTGGCGGCTAGGGTGTTCGCAATCCTAGCATTAATCTCTTTCTATAGAGCGTTTTTTAGCAGGAGTCGTTCCGGTTAGTTTAGGGGCGACCATAAGGCATCGAATACTATCTAAATAATACAGTGATCCGACCCGTGCTCTGTCCTAAGTATAGCACACTTAACCCTTGAGTCTATTAGGTTTTCCGAGGCCAGGACGAGGTCAATCGTGGACTCGCAGTCCCTATTCTGTCCTGCGCTATACCATGTATTTGTGCCTCGTTTGAGTAGACTGCTGAGTGCTAATTCATTCATGAAGTCGATGATTGGGTCCGCTTCACCTTATCTTACCAAAGACACGTCGTCTCCTCCCTAGAGTTAGTCATAGCGGTTAAAATCTCCCACGATTATGATCTCCAACGCTATACCTATATCCCGCCGTATCTCTGTGGTCGCTTCGCGTAGGTGATCTTATGTTTCGAGCAATACCGCGGCATCCCCTCCCTCTACGTAGACTAATGCCATAAATATCAGGCGCTCGGGGAGGCGGATGACCGCCGCGGTCAGATCCGGCGACTCGATCGATAGTTACTCCGCTTCCACATCCCTATTAATCCAAAGCATACTTCGAATTACCCACCCACCCTCCCTCCATGTAGAGGGAACCATCTTTGTCCATTTGTGATGCCCCATCGGGGTAGTCAAGAGCCGGCCTTAAATCCTCCTCGCTTGGGGTTCTTGTAGACTGCGGCATGGTTTTGGTTGCGGTTTTAGGTTGAAGACCAAACCCAAAAACCTGCGGTTGCGGTTAGCAAGGTGAAAACCGCAACTAAACCCGCAAATTTGCGGTTAACCAAAACCACAGTGCGGTTAACCAACGGTTAACCGTAAATGCATAATTTTTGAAGATCCTCCCTATTCCAGTAGTCTCGTGATCTTTATGCAGCTATCTAATTATGCATTTTTACACCATGTTTTGGTTCTTACAGGCAGATTATGTTAATACTATTGATTATCATTGGAAAGTTTTTGAAATCGAATTGTATTTAAGTCTGACCAAGTATATTAAATGACTATTGATGTTAGATTTATCCAGAATGCTAAGTGAGTAGTGATATATATGTGGTTATAGATACTTTTGAGACTTAACCGGCTTTGCTGCGGAAATATATCATTACACCCTAAATGCAAGGATACGGTAAACCACGTGACCCAAGGATATACTCCTGGCGTGACTCCCAAGGAGTAGGCGGAGGAGTATACGGTGACCCCAGAGCTACTCCATGGGAGTAGGCCCGGGGGTAGGAAGGACTGGATATATAAGGACACTCATTTAGCATCATGTATTTAGTTCTTCGCGATCAATTGCACATTGTTACTTGGTTACTACCTTTAGCACTTTGCACTTCACAGTTCACCTTTGAGACAACCCAACCTACGAGTAGGGGATTCACTTAGTAGCAAAACTCTGTGATTGACTTACTCGGCGCGCACTTCTGGCACGTTCTGCAAGATACTCAACAGGATCCGACCCGCAGTAAGGCTTTGCGAAGCAACGGTAACGATTGAGGGATACTCTTGGAATCCGCAGTTGGAACTAGGCAAGTATAACCCGTGGACGTTCTAATTCACAGTGACCAGTCGGCACCGCGTAACACAGCGCTAGTACGTGTGGTTTTCTATCGTCCGGATCTCTGTCTTAACCGCCGCCCTAATTAGGCCTGCGGAGATCCTCTCCCTATCCGAGTCTGCCATTTTCGAGATGTCTATAGTGCAATATAACGTGTCGGTAAAGGTAGTAGGCGTCGTGTTCCACGATGAGAGAGTCCGTATGTTACTCGGGTGACTAAGGAGAGGAGTACGGGCGACATCTACATAGGACGGGGAGCCAGTAGAAACGGAAGGGCTAATAGCATCGCGCAGGGATTGAATCTCGCGGAGGATCTCATCGTGGTTGTTCTAAGCGCATATCTCGGTGTGGGATTACAGTGTCAGGGGCCTATCCGTCAGGGTCTGTAGCTCATGTCGAACTTCGGCAAGGGCGGCGCTGAATTCATCTTTGACCTTTTAAAGCTCTTCCTTGTGCAATTCATCGCGTCGCCTGATCTCTCGCCGGAGTTTAATAAGCTCCTTCACGAGTGTGGCGGTGTTAAGGTCCTCGCTCTCCGTCGCGGAGTCGTCCGAAGTGACCGCGTCACGTTGAGTTGCTGGCTTATCTTGCATTTTCTTCCTCAGCTGAGAGCGTGTCGTTCTCTGGTCGTTGTCGATCTCTTGCTCTCCAGCATAGTTATTTGGTGGCCTTGTGGTGCGTTTCGGCCTCGCCAATCGTGGAGGTGAATCTTCGTGTTCGTCGCGGTCGGGCGGCTCAGGGGTTCGCGTCTCGGCCCGTCCCGCCATTTTTGTTTCCTCGCGTCGCTCACGATTCGACCGTTCAATTCAAAAGTAATTCCTTTTACAGTCCGATAACTTGGCGCCTATCCTCAGCCTCTCCGAGGCTCTAATTGCACTCTATTCGGATACCGTACAGTCCTGGAAGATTACAGTCCGTTGCGAAACTGGTGCAACCACTCCTTTCTGCAATACAGTCGATGATGATGATGATGATGATGATGATTTCATTTACCCTGACCCCTCTCCTCAACGGCGACATGCAGGCTACATCAACTATATATATCCCTGTACGTACATGTAGAGTATTCCACTTCCTGATAACGAACTTAGAGCCTCGTCGGGGCCTGTCGTGGCCTAGTAGCCCTTATTGCTTGTCTTGCTGCCCTCATGGCGCGCGGCTTCGAAATCGCTGTGACGCTTCAGCGAAGTCCAAGACAGCCTCCACCTTCTTGGCACGTGAAGCAGTTCCCCTTTCTCCAAATCCTCCCAATAAGGTTGTCATGCTGTTAAACGCGTCCCCGACCTTCCCCGGGAGCTCTCGGCGTAGATCTCGGAGTGAGGGACAATCTAGCAGAACATGTATCACACTTTCCCACCCGCCGCAGACGCACAGGTCATCGTCGCGGAAGCGGAAGGCCTTTGCATATGTCGATAACCAGTAATGTCCGGTTCGCAGTTGCGTCAATAGGTATGCTCAGTCTCTTGGCAGAGAACCGTACAGGCGCCTCGTGTATTTAGCCGACAATGCGTTGTCGATCTTACGAAGATGGCCGCCGTCGCTTGACTCTTTCATTCTTTCTCCCATTGGGTGTAGATTCCTCTTCTGATGTAGGCCCTCTCGCGTGACAGCAAGGGGGAAAATGGGTGAATTTTGCCAGGTATGGCTGCTTCTTTAGCTATTTAGTCTGCGGTGTCGTTCCCAGGTGCTTCGCAATGCCCCGGCATCCAATGTAGTCGGACCGCGATGCCGTGGGTCTTGGTGTTCCTAGCTGCCTCTAGAATAGCGTAGATGATCTGCTGTCCGGATTTGTTTCCTGGATTCTAGATTGCTTGTAGTGCCGACATACTATCGCTGAGGACAGTAGTAGTTCTCACTCGCACCCCGGTTGATCTCCGACATTGGAGGGCGATCTTGTTGATGATTTTAATAGCGTACAAGATTGCGATTAGTTCGGCGACATATACAGACCATCGGTCCATAGGTCCGACCTGTGTCTGGTATTTCTCGGTTATTTCCTGCGTGTCATCCAGTACCGCCGCCGCGGCGCCCAAGTGGCCTTGGCGTCCCGATGCATCGGAGTATACTACAATGTCCGAGTTGGACCGTGCAGTCTCCGCCTATGCTATTGCGATCTCCTTGTCTGGTTCGATCTCAATGTTGGAAAAGGCCTCGGTCCGCCACGGCGGTAGAGGAGTTAGGTCGATCATTTCTAGCTCATTGAGTCTCTCTGGGCTCATGGTTTTTAGGGCTTCCGCGACGAAGGGGAACCGGGCAGATGTTCCTATGTTGTTCCGTCTTCTTTGGGCCCGGAGCAAGGTGTCCCATATAGGATGCTTCCGTGGTAAGGTGTGGAGTCTGGCGATGGTGGTTTGTGCGCGATGGCGTAAACGGAGATGAGTAGGTAGAACATGCGTTTCAACTTCTAGCGTAGATGTAGCTATTGTCCGGAAAGCAGAAATGATGCGGATGAGCGCCGTCCGTTGAACAGTACGCAAGTGTTGTAAGTGAGTCTTATCTCGGAGTGGGTCGTACCAGACCGTTGAGGCGTAATCAACAACCGGTGTGACACACGCCTCGTAGAGCTGTCGCATTTGCTCTGGGCGGAGTTGTCTCAGCCCTCCTAATGCAGTAACGACTCGGTTTCCTTTCTGGACTGCCTGCTGCACTTGTTCTTTCCACCGTAGCTCGTGGTCGAATGTCACGCCTAAGAGCTTGGGAGTAGCTGAAGGTGTGATGGTCTTGCCGCTCATGATAAGCTGGCCTTGGCATTGTTCTTTCTTTTTCCTGGTTAAGTGGATGAGCTCAGTCTTCTCCGCCGCGAAGCAGGACCCTGTCCTCCGGACCCATTCTTCGATCCGTGGTATATCCTCCGATTGGATCTTAGCTAAGTTCTCCTCGGCCGACCAACCTACCCGCCAGCGGAAGTAAGTCAATGAAGGCCGATGCGCCGCCGTGGAAATCGACTGGTTGGTTGATTAAATCACCACGAGAAGGTAAAGATTCATCGTTTGATCAGACCATTCACCTGACATACTCGCTATAGGCCAATCGTCCTTTAGCTCAGGCAGCGTCTTGTTTTCTGCCAGTCCCACTTTTATAAGTGGGGGTCTATCTGTGCCATTAGGCAATATCGAGAGGGCGTCGTCACCTGTGACATAGAGTACGCGGCCTTCCCGATGGCAAAATGAGATTGTCATTACGCTAGATGAAGAGAATGTAATAAAAGACCAACATGTATATTTTCCCCCCCTCTTTTCGGATTTATTGATTTCACGGCGTTCTTGGCTCGCGAAGTATTTTCCCAAGATTGAATCAGCTTGATCATATCTTTGTTGAGATGTCCTTCAATCGACGCGATTGCTCGTCAAACCCTGATAGCGGGCATTCAGGGTTTTCAAGAATCAGTGACGCACCTGCCTATGAATCTTGGAATACAGAAACCCGTGCAGCAATGGAACATGCAGGATACCATGCTTGGGACCCTCGAGGGTGGTCCACAAAAACAAAGCTTGCCACTGCAGCTGGCGCTGTCGCAATCGTCGTCGCTGCTATAGTGGGTGCCGTGCTCGGGGTGCGGGCCAATCGATACCCCGATTATAGCAAACTCGACTACAAGCTGGTGGACACTTTTTCTGGGTCTGATTTCTTTAATAACTTTTATTACGCTACCTCTGATCCGTCGGGCGGATTTGTCGAGTAAGTAAGTACTGTTCAAAATCCAGTATTGGCCACTCTACTAATGTTATGCAGATATGTTGATAGAGCCGCAGCTGAATGGTTAAATTTGACTTACGCTTCGGAAACATCAGCTATTCTCAAGGCGGATACAACATACAGTGGACAAGATGAGGTAGCCAATGGGCGCCAGTCTGTTCGAATCACGTCCAATAATACCTATGCTGATGGATTATTTATCTTCGATATTTTACACACCCCTTACGCCTGCGGTTTATGGCCAGCACTGTGGCTCACAGACCCAAGTAACTGGCCAGAACATGGTGAGATCGATGTCATAGAATCTGTGAACATGGGCAGATGGGGCAATCACGCAACTCTTCACACATCTAGTGGTTGTAGTATGGACGTCAAGCGGAAGGAAACGGGCTCACCGACCTACACGAACTGCTATTGGGACGCTAATTCCGAATCAGGATGTGGTGTGGTAGGGTCAAAGGCTACATACGGCCCTGAATTCAATGCAGCAGGCGGTGGAGTTAGTTTACCCTGTCTCCATGATTGAAAGTGCCCTCTAGCTAATTCTCGCTTAGGTGTATGCTATGGAGCTCCGTGATGCCGGAATTCGAGTCTGGCATTGGATTCGCGATGAAATTCCATCTGATATTACCTCTGGCAGCCCCGATCCTTCCGCATGGGGTAAGGCATACGCCGATTTCCCAAGCACGAATTGCGATATCGGAAATCATTTCAAGAACCACAGCATCATTGCCAACATTGATTTCTGTGGAGGTTGGGCGGAAGCGACGGAATACTATACCACACAGAGCGGCTGTCCAGACACATGTGAAACCTTTGTGATGGATAACGCATCGAATTTTACGACGGCTTACTGGGAGTTCAAAAGTTTTAGGGTGTACCAAGCAAGCTAAATATTTTGTTTGGATTCAATCCCCGCCCGACTATTGGACCTCTGTGATTGCTTTGCGCACGTGATCGCATGTTTCGAGCAATGCCCGGTGTCTCCACCCTCCACGTAGACTGACGCCATAGATATTAGGCGCTCAGGGAGGCGGATGATCGCCGCGGTCAGATCCGGCGACTCCATTGATTCTTGCTCCGCTTCTACCTCGCAGCCATGTATTTCACCCAGACAAGCCACCTTAGGCGCAGTGGACCGCTCTATCCAGCTAATACACCGCGATGCATCATCGACATAGGGCTTTGACCGACCTGATCAGGGACATTTCCACGCTATAAGTTGGCTCCTCGGCGACGAAGACCCACTGTCTACAGAGAGGTCTGTCTTGTGAGTACTCAGAGCTGGGACTATGTCTTATTATTCCGGAAATAGCTACGGAGGCTAGCGGCAGGGGCTCATTATGCCTCCATCCTGCGATCAATTGCTTCACTTGTCTATGTAGTCCTTTCGCAGGCTGTTCTTTAATAAAATTACGGCTGGATAGACCGCCGGTTGTGCTACTAATGAGACAGACGCCGCTGTATCATGGTCTTGAAAGTCGGGAAGAGAGGGTAGCAAATTGCGTTTCTTTCAGGCCCTGTGGAATCATGTGCGATCGATGTAGTTGCTGAATACTAATTTGATCCCCGCGGTGTATCTTATTATGTATTGAATGTTCTGGTGCTTCAAACCATTCAAGTCAGGATCAGCTGTACACGGGGGAAGAGAATGGAAGACAGGTTGGCCCCTAACTTACGTATAGGATCTACTTTCCCAGTGTCCGACTTAACACTAGCCCCATCTGATGATGACCTGGGTTTAGTCCGCCACTAGGTATGTCGCGGGAAATGTAATTCTCTATATCAAATGATGTACCACAGTCTGTCAAAGCGAGCTAAATTGGTATAGACTAGTATGCATTAGAACGAATAAGAACTATCAGAATCATCAGATAGAGAATTGATTCATTGAAGAAAATGACTGATTTAAATGGAAAAAGGGGCAGGTTGAGCTGTCCCTTAGCGGTGTAACAAGGTATTCGAGTGACAATACCAATGTCAAAGTGTTACCGTCATGTTACATACAAACACATAAGAAAACTAGGTTGGATCTGGACCAATTCATGGCACTGTAATAAACCACCCCACTCTTCCACGACACACTCTTTCTTTCCCAGCGCCCTGACTAAAAGACGCTAGGCTATATATGGCTAGCGATAAGTCTCTGCGGGGGTAATTTCTGATTTGAATAGTAATAAGATGCGGCGATCTAGGCCTAGCCCGCAAGTGGGTCTCTAGGAAAGAAAGCGTGCGTGTCTACGGAGTAGGTGGTAATCTGCCTCTGAAAACTACTTTTCCGTTATGATAAATTAGACCATACGTATCGTTCTAAACCATACGTATCGGCCGGACAGCGTACCTCCTGCACAGCCTCTGCCGACACAGCCCCTGCCGACACAGCTCCTTGCAATTCTCACCGGCATCTGACTGGGTGCTAGAGAGCGACCCGGTCTGTCGCTTTGTCCGGCGCCACTATAAAGGAAGGGTGGAAGTTGTTTGTTCTTGCCCACAAACTGTCGGTGGAATCTTAGGTGTTCCTGGTCAGGGATAGGTCTCTGTGCTATCCCCACTGTCTTCTTCATGTGCGATCTACCACAATGACTCGAGATGCATTGGCGGAACGACCATGGAGACCTTGGAACCCTGGCTATCATCCTCGCAATGGCCGATTGCAGGTCACGTATTTCCGACACAAGAATTGATCTGCCTAGGGAATGGCCCTTATCCCGACCATAATGAGCAAGCTATCAATGTATCTGTTGTACTGGGGGAACTGCTGACAGATTTTGGTGCTGTTTCTGATTGGGCGAATTGCTGGTTTCGCTTTAGGACTAGGCCTTGGTTAGCTTCTTCGGTCGGGAGCAGTGGTTTGGCAAGTAAGAACAACAGGAAGGAGAGCAATAGCTATGCGAACAGCAGCAAAAGGGAAGAAGAAGAAGGGCAGCTCTCTTGCGAAGGGGAGATTCATTCATTCGTTTTGTATTGACTCTCAATTTTACATTTGTTTTCTCTCGGCCTTTTATGACAGTCCTTGCCATAACCACTAGGCTATCCAGAGGGCACTGCTTTTCTCTGTTGAGCTGAGACCTTGTTGTTGTTTAGGAGAGGTTTTTCTGAGCTTCCTTGTGTGGTGGTGTTCCTTCCATTCTCTGTTGCCTGTCTCTTCTGTGCCTCGACCTATCTGTTTCGCTCAGACTGCCACAGTGCGATCCCCTCGTTTACTGTGTGCCTTTTGTAAACCACTGACAGAGCTGCCAGAGAGACTAAGCGGGATATAAAATGTTAATCAAATTTGATATATTGTTATATGTTGTTACTTCTTTGGAAAATCATACCCGCCCTTCTTTCCGGTCAAATACCTAGCTAGATCAACGTTTTGAGATCAACTTTTCCCTCTCCAGAGGGGTGTTACTCATCTGATGATGCTGAATCGTAATAATACTTGATCCAAGGACCCGATGGTTTCATCGCTGATATCACTCACTACAGGGGATTTCGAAAACAGATTCCCTCCCTAGCTCGGACACACGCTTTCTTTCCTACCCCGTGCTCCCAGAGAAAAACACAAAAAAAAAAAATTCTATCGCGACCCCCTTTTCCACCATCGAAGCGCGTGCGCGGTCATTCCAAAGTCAAGTGCTCAATGGCGTCACTCTGCTCCAATTTGCCCGAACCGGCTTCCACTATGAACCGAACGCATCGTTCGGCGATATGACCTGCTGCTTTGCTTGTCAGGCTTTCGTACGCCTGGGAAGCATCCAGCGCGAACCCCTCCAGGAAAGGCAGCGACTACATGCTAACGACTGCGTATGGGAGATAATGTATCACGAGCTGAAACTAACCCTTGAATCTACTGACAAATTCCATACTCCAGCCGACGCATCCCTTCCGTCTATGCAATCAACTCCAAACCACCATCCTGCCCTCAGACCTTGAATCTCTCAAGAAGGCAACCACCAACGCCAGCAGTCGGACACCAACCCGACCAACACGAACTAACTCCTACCGCCGGAGGGGAATCCTCGAACACTAACCTGGGGCCTGAGGCACTAATATCAATATATGAATAGCCTTATTGAAATATCAGTGTACTTACTTAGAACTTCTTAAATTTTAGGATCGTACCAAGTATAGAAGTAAGTAATACCACAATACTCTGTCCCTACTTTGTCTTCCAATACTTAAGACTAAAACCTTTGTCCACTCTAGTAGTGTGTAATTACTCCTGTATGATAGGATGTGGTATGTATGATAGGACGTGGTACTGAATTAGAATATCTAACAGGGGGGACATGCTGCAGTCTAAACCCGAGGATGAACGAGATTAATTATGATCAGGAGCCCAAAAAACCACATAAGTATCATTGAAAACGAGCGAATACTTGGATAAAATCCTAAGTGATGATAACAACGGACATCTTTCTCAGCAGAACAACCATGACGGGCTGTTGATACTCCTCGTGTACTTCTAGCCTTCTCCAGATGTAATAGATACCCCTACTTTGATGAGGTGCCCGCTAATGACCGCCACCGGCACCACCGCCTCCATTGCCACCGACACTGCCGCCATTGCCTCCAGTGTCTCCACCACTGCCGCTATTGGATTCTGCAACACCGCCGGAGGCAGTCAGAGTGGCCGCATAGCTTGCACTATAGCTAGCGGATGTGTCAATGCCAATTGCGATCCACGAAAAGATTCCATCCTCTACCGTATCTCCAAGCAAAACGTAGTTAAAGACTGGATCTGACTCGCTACTGGCCGTCTCGGCGGCCAGAACACGGTCATTGGCATTCAGCGTAATAGCGACGGTGTTTTCGCTGTAAGGGGACAGTGCTTCGACCGCCGTGATGAGGCTTTGGTCGTAGAAAAGCTGGCCGATATGAGCGATATTGCCACCTGTCAGCGTTCCGTTGGAGAGTACGGTAGCTCCAATGTGAGCGATGACATGAACATGTGTGGCGCGTCCGTTGTAGTGGCCAGGGAATATACTTGTGAACTGCGCTACCCCGTCGGAGTCTGTGGGCTGGATGCCACGCAGCGCGGTATTGTCTAGGTTACTGGCGTCATTGCCGTTGCCGTTGCTGCTGTCCTGGACGCCAGAGTAGACGCCCGTGGAATTACAGTTCCAGACGTCAAAGTAGAGATCCTCAATTGGCTCGCAGGTATCGATATCGATGAATTGCGCGTCAAACACCACCGGCACCCCAGGCTCGTCATCAGTCACGTCTGATCGGATATACTCGCCCTTGACCCAGAACGGGCCCACCTCTCCTTCGGGTGAGAGGATACAGGATACATCATCCGAAAAGAAGACGTCTTCGGACGAGTCTACCGTCACCCCGGTGAGGTTGGAAAGGTGAGAAGTGTTTATGACCGTAGACAGATCCCGAGCTTTAAGAAAGGCTACTGATTTGGTCAGAGACGTGTGTGAGTGTATTCGGAAGAATATTGGGGAAAAGGGCTTACCTGTGTCAGCACTTCTTTTAGAGTGTTCATATGCCAGGTCCCGGCGGCGAGCAGTTGCGCGAGCCTGGAGAGCACGGAATTCTGCCTTCTCTGCGCACTTAGATAAGCTGTTGCGAGCGTTTTTGAAGAAGCTCCTCTTCAGTGCAATATTCGATCCAACATCTTCATGGCCAGGATGGGCAACCGCAAATGCGGTTATCCCTAAAACAAAAAGCTTGGAGAAAGACACCATGTTTTTTGCAGCGTATAGTAACGGGTGTGTCGAATTATTCAACTTCCGATGCGCTGGCTGAATAGTTGTTATTCAGAAGAGACTTGATGCTGCGATTTCTCATCGTTCTTATCCCTTTCCCTCCTTCATTTCCCACGCTCTGCAGATGACATCTATATTGCCCTTACCCTGCTAGCTTGCAACATGTCCCTGTTGGCTTTAGTATAAGTGGTGGCACTATGAGTGTGCTCCTCGCTTCCATATATTCGCAAATTGGGAAGTGATCAACGAATTGTCGTCGTAAGCACTTTGGTCGGAGGTGAGAAATATAGCATATACTTGAGGCGGGGTCATCGACGCGCGTACTTTCCCACCAGTCAGGACTCGATTATTCATAAGATGCCAAGATTCTCAATCTAAACCTACGGTGTCAATGGGAGGGGAATTATTCATGCTTCTTGGCATAGCGGATGCAACGGTATACCCCAGGCCGTGAATGAGCTTGCCTTTTCCTGGAGCGGGCCTATCCCGCAAATTAACTGAACACCCATCCCGGTAATATCAAATGCGCCGTGTTGTGAAACGTCCACCAGGAGAATTATCAAACTGTGTGGGCCAAGATCTCAAAATTGGAACCAGCGCAGGATCTTCCCTCTCCGTGAGCAAGATCTGAATAAAACACTAATGTAATTTAACGTACAAAAGTACTAGAGCCTACAATGCAACAGCCACTCCCTAAATTTTCTCACAGCTTAGAGATACAGTAGTCTGTCTTGACGAAAGACTACTACTTAATATGATATAATATCGTGGATGGCCTAGACTCGATCGACAGCGTACTTACTGCGGCAATATATACCTATTATCGGGTTTCGTCGATCACCCCCTTACCCCTCCTTCCCCAGCCTTTCACTAATTGCGCTATCTATAGACTGTAGGTATTTCCATCCCTAGGGGCTATATCAATGTATCATACCCTGGTAGACTTTCAGGCCATCTACATCTAGGCAACTAAAGTGATGCTCTGTCTAGATGAACTTAGTCCTAGAAAGTCAAGACAATTTTGCTTCTTCTACCTTGTGTATGATTTTCTGTAAGTTCTTAAGTGATTCTAGAATCAAAGCCAAAGCTATTATAGAAGGTGAATACCTGGATTTAAACAGAACCTAGATTTAGACAAAAGTGGAAAAAGTCATGACGTCGGTTATCTTACAGAGGATTTCGAAAACAGATTACCCCCCGGACACACACGCTTTCTTTCCCAGCGCCCCATTAATATTGCGCTAAGCTAATTGTGGCTAAATGAGGCCCCCTCCCCGAAGTCTAACGCCAGATCATTGGCTGCAGGAGAATCTAGAACCCGGGCGATCCGGACTAGGTGCCGAAGTGGGTCTCTGGGAGAGTAAACGTGTGTGTCCGGGGGGTAATCTGTTTTCGAAATCTACTGTACACAGGTGGCAACTTGAGCCTTTCTCCTGAGTCCGTTCCAAGCGTATATAACATTACTGATACTGCAAGTTCCTATCGCTCCTAGATTTCTACTTCTCGTAGCAGTAGCTCACCCGAACCAATAAAGAACAGGGCTTCTTATATCTTATTCCCTTCCTTCCTTTCCAACCACATAAATGGATTGTGAAAAAGCTATTCAACTACGTTCGAACCAACAATCATCTCAAGCGCCTCTTGTCGGAGTATGGAGGCGATTCCTGTCCGTACAAGAAATAGCTCAAATCATTAAGCAATTCCAATCAGAAAATTGGATTCTGAATGGCCAAGTCCTCTGGAGTGGAATTCCTCGCGACAAGGCCCAAGAATGGGCTGATAGGCATCGACTTCAAACGTTGACCACAGCAATGGGGCCACTCATGGATGAAAAGCATCCGAAATGCTTGAAATTGAGAAAGAATCACCGCCGATGGAGTAGATATGTTCATGGTGCTTCCGCTAGATTTGCTTGGCGTATAGCTCAGGGTGAAAAGGTTACACTTCTTTCACCTCCACCACCAGAGCGATTTCATCCGTCAGGTATGTCTTATTACCAACTCATCGAAGAGCCCATAATTCGGGGCTTGCTCGATCAAAATTCCGTTCAAAAAATCTTCATAACCCATCCGATGATTGAGGAAAACGAAGACGAAGAGTTTTGTTATGAGCTATGGCCAAATGACAGATGCGAGAAATGGGTGGAACGATTCGGATCGAGACCCTACAAGGTAAAATGGAGACAAGTCGGACACAACAACGATATAACGGAACTAAGAAATTTAATGACTTCCAGTGAATGGCACGTCTTTTGGTCTGAGCAGTTTAAGGGGTTTGAAAAACAAAAAGTTCGTTATTTTCGGATATTTAATTATCTCTGGCGAATATACACTTATGATATAATAGAATAACCTACCGAAATTCATATCATTTGGTTTATCCTATTCGATTTGCGGCAAAACGGGGGGTAATATTGATGCAACAATTAAGGAGGAAAGAATATTTGAAACAGCCGAGACTACTTCAACTGTGATCTCACCTAAAGATATCAACACTAAACAGAAGTCAGCGAGGAGGCTCGGGGATGAAACAAAAGCCAAAAGAAATGCCCTCGACAAGGCACATCAGGAGGCCAAAAAGAAACTCTCAAGGATGAAGCAAAGGAAAAAAAGAAAAGCCTGCGACAAGGAACAGACGAAGGCTGCAAAGAGATTCAAGGATGAAATAAAAGCAAAAAGAAATGCCCTCGACAAGGCACATCAGGAGGCCAAAAAGAAACTTAAGGACAAAGCAAAAGCAAAAATAAAATCCCTCGAGAAGGCAGAGAAGAAGGCTGCAAAGAAGCTCAAGAATGAAAGGGAAGCGAAAAGAAACGCCCTCGAGACATCACAGCAGGATGCCGCAAAAAAAGTCAGGGATGAAGAGAAAGCGAAAAGAAAAGCCCTGGACAAGGCGTACCAGGAGGCCATAAGAAAACTTAAGGATGAGGAGACAGCAAAAAGAAAAGTCTTCGACAAGGCACAGCAGGAAGCTGTAAAGAAGCTCAAGGACGAAGAAAAATCAAAAAGAAAAGCCCTTGAGACGGCACAGCAAGAGGTTTCAAAGAGGCTCAAGGATAGAGTGTACGATTAAAAGAAAGGACGATAATTTCTTAATACTGTCAGTATGTGGATCTCCATTGAACAGACTGCTCGCCATTAGTTGCATGGGCTTCATCTCGGGCGCCCCATGATAGGGGTACTAGATAAACGGAATTTTACAGTGACCCCAATTGATGATACATTTGCGCTAGGGCCTTGGCAGTGCGGCCCGAGAAAACAAAAGCTGTATCTACTCTATCAAAGACTGCGCTGTTACTACCTCGTTGTGCGACGTCTGGTGTGGAACTGTACGTCTCTCCCCACTTTGGAATCTCTACTTCCCCATATTTTGGCAGTTTCCTTCAACTCTAACATCCAAGATTAATTTAAACTTAGCTTGAACTCATACAGCTGAAGAAGAAATATGTATCCATTTGCCCCTAACATATTCTTTATTCAACGAGCTTTACCACAAGATCAGAGGCCATCTCACCATGGCCATCCAAAATACACCGAAACCGAGCATTCTCAGCCAGTGTTCGCGCCTCGCACGAGATATAGTCAATAACCAACATTCTCAGGGAATAACTCCCACCCGGCTCTTGTCTACCTGTCTGCCCGTAGGTATATTTTAGTAGATCAAGGATGTGTGCCATGCTTTGTCGGCTAAGAGAATAGTTGCAAAGGTCACGATGAAGTGCTTTCAGGGACTGTCCTCTTAACGGGTCAATAAGATACCGCGTCGCAAAAACTGACTCCACCGGCGTTCGTAGGGACATTCAACATAGATTGATTTCGCGTATTCAATCTCCGCAAGAGGTGAGGAATAGTAGATCTTTTGCTTTGTCCGTGCTTTCTTGGAAGCTCGGCTGCCCCACATAGAAGCTGTAGCCTCTTGTTCTGGCTCTGGGTCCTGAGGCTCTGGATCTAGGTTTTGTTGTGGATCACTCTCTTTCAATTGATCTAAATTGGATATGAGCAATCATTAGTCCTGCATAGTAATAAGTAATACTTACTCTCTGTATCAAAATGACCGTCATCTTCTTTCTCTTTGCGGCAAGGTGTAGTATAATTTCCTCTGTAACCAAACTCGCAAAAAGCAATGAATGTTTCCTCTTCCACGTCGTCTATAGATGTAGTTCTGAATATCGCTTCTTTCATACAACCATTGTTTATGAGAGCATTCAGCGGGGCAGATAACTTATGAACCAGACCGCGTGGATTGACAGCTGCCGCTGTTCATGTCCGATAACATAGTTAAATTCTGGAGATCGAATAAGACCTCGACAGTCAGTTAGCAAATGACCGATCCAATGAAAACTGATCGTTCGTACTTCTTGAAATCTCCCATTCCTGAATACTTTCACTCACCCGAGCGACAGATTTTGGCAACCTTGATGAAAGTTCAGCGTTGGAGTGCGACGATTAAAACGTTATATACAAGGTGAGAGGCATTCGTACTACTCCACCAGTAGATTCTCGCCACCTAGTCCATGCGAAGACCGACATTAGACCCTGTAATGGCCAATCGAATGAGGGGTAGCAAATCTGGGTAAGAATTGTCTTCAAGTGGAAAACAAGGACGGTGTGACACGACACGCATCCATGTGTTACTCCAATGTGGAGAAAGGAGTAGGGGCGAGCCAATGATGTATGATCCAATGTGAAGGCGGGATCTGGACTGGCCCAAAATACGGCCAGCCTCAGAATGCAAGTCATTCTTGTGCGACTTGAGGGATCATAATGCTGCATGGGATCGCCATAACATTCCAATCCTAAAGGTTGAGTGGATGACTGGAGGCTTTCAGGCCATCCATTGAATGGTAAAGCCGGGGACCATATGCCTTACTATATTGACTCGTCAGGACCCTATGTGTTTGTCTGGCGTCATACCATGAGTTCTGTTGGGCTCGGGAAACAATACCCGACTTTGCAAGAATGGCTGTCTTGCGACAGTATTTCGAGGAGTAGCACTCTTATGAGTTCACGCTGTAGGAGTAAATTGGGAGATCGTGTTAACCACTCGGTGGGAAACAAGCAGAATTAGCTGATTAATCAGGTACAAGATCTGCGATTAGTCCTAAGCAAGATGGATTTCTTTTCCAGGCCTCTCTATCCTTGTGAACTTTCCCAAGTGCGTACACCACAAAGGGATGTAACTCTTGCTCGTGAGAATCCTGCAGCATGATGAATGAACCGACAAGTATCACTCGCCCACTACTCCTTCGAACTTAGGAGAAACTTCTGGGCGGGGGCATCAGGAATGTGCGAAAAGGCGATGAGGTGTTGCTTATCGCTTTCATGTCGACCCAAGTTGTGTTACGAAAAATTCGCCAAAACTGATATTGTCTATGTGCATGGGATCATGCACGGGGAATTTATTGACCAGAAAGGATTGTATACAGAAGATATTAAGCACATTTACTGTAGATGTAAGATCGCGTAGCTTGTTTGTCAGGCCAGAGCAAAAGGAGTAGCTAAGACGGCTCTCAGCCTCATCAACAGCATTGGTATGGCTACTGTGAGTGACTAGTTGCTCCTATTCGCATAGTCAGAGAATGATCATCACACTTGTACCTCAATCCAGGATCTCAACTAAGAATGCGCCATTATATAATTTTGAGGGACTTTTAGCTCTCCAAAATATCACCAGAGTAGGCGCCAGGAAAGCGTTCTTCCAAAGTCCCCGTATACTGTACTTACGCTGCGGTCCAAAATATACATTCCGGGGTGTGAAACCACTCTTCACGTGCCGCGAAGGTAAACTTTGCCGCCTCCTTATTGAGTGATAGAGCAAGAACTGCGCGCACCAATACTGTAACAGGGCAGATATCATGTCGTCGATTTATCATACGGTCTTGCTCAGTCTTGAGAAGTGAGAACAGCAGAGGAGGCGCGCATGGATATTGAGCTTGAGCTCGATCGAGGTGTCGATAAGCCTCTCGCCACTTTTAGTCCAGAGGCATGCGGGCAGTCATTCATTGACCTTACTGGGTGTCCTTCGTTCTGCCCGGAATTTCTGTAAGCCCGAGCCTCGCTTGCACTTTAACACCAAATTCAGGCTTCAGTCAATGCCTGTTTCCCCCGATTATTTGCAACACAAGGCCTTGCTGGGTTCCTTTTCCAGGAATCAGACCCTTGTTATCTATGTCTTTCCGAGACTATTCCCTCAAGGATGTTTTAGTCGTAGGTACGAGGATCATGCAAGCGGGGTTGGAAGGATTTGAGATTGTCGCAGCGCATGGCGAACCTGCCCTTGCAAAGTCCGCAAGCTTGACATTTCAGGTGAGCATATTTTTACGTATGAAGATGGGTTAAATGCTTATCACTAAATTTTCGCAGACAGCAAGCTGGAGCGCTCAAAACCCGGTTATCGCTGCCTGCGCGGTTGTTGGCACTACCGGAGTAACGATTCTGGCCGTTCCTGGCCTTGTAACGGCCCCAATACTGTGGAGTCTAGGCTTCACGATGAACGGTATACAAGCAGGTATGTGCAATATGCTAGGAATGCCAACGAAGTGATCGTTACCTCCTGTGCTACAATACGAGGTTTGACTAACCATATGTTTCGATACAGGGTCTGCAGCCGCAACCGCCCATAGTTGGATCGGAAACACTGTAGCCGGGAGCGCGATGGCTATAGGACAGAGTGCAGGGGCAGGAGGAAATGGTTTGGTCATCTGGAACGGAGCTGCACAGTTAGGAGGTGTTGCCATGACTGTGGGAAGTGCCGGTCTAGCTTGGATCAAAGCTCTATCATGAGCCCCACATGTTTCCATACTGTATCCCTCTTTTTAACTGATCAAGTCGTAAACTCTACGGCCCTAATTCTGCATGTCAAAAGTGGTTCTGGCGATCCGTTCCATTGCTCACCCTGTATTGATGCATAATTTGAGAAACACAACAGACCCCTGGTCTTCTTCAAGGCCATGACAGCTTTTGATAAAATTTAGTTATGACGGCCTAGGATCACGTTGTCGTAGATGATTTACTTCTGGGCGCTCGCCATCGGAAGCTCGCAGTTACGTACTGCATTGTCTTCCTATCGCCCACTGTCACTTGCACAGATTTTCACATTTTGCCCCACTTTTTTGATGCTTTACATTTTCCCTATCATTTGGGCAACATTTACTGTCTTGGATTTTGCATGAATTTTGCTCAAAGTTGCTAGATTTAACACCACTCTCACCCTGCGCTTTTGTTTCGATCAAATTACAATACATTTTTTCGCCCTTCAAGATGCACCCATCCGCCAGCTAACGTGGCAAATTAATTCCTTCTGATGCCATACCTGTTTGTATATTCTCTATTGCACACCTATTGCAAGCGAACCTAGCCTAAACGATGATCTAGGATTCTGGAATTACCGATTTAAGTGAATCCAGACTGCGCACAGTTTTTATACTGTACAGTATTTCTAACAGTCAAACTGATGATCGAAGTAACTATTTAATCACTTCAACTTACTAAATGGAATTTTGGATAACTATGTAATTGCCCAATTTGCCACCTTCTGAACACTAATTGTGTGCGCCACCATTATTTTGACCAACTTTTGCTCGCTTTCCCCCAATTTTTGAACGCTTGGCATTTTGCAACTTTTTGTTACTTCCTGCCCACCTTTTGCTCAACCTTCATGCCCATCCTACACTACTTTGATCACTCTCGTCTACAAACACTCTTTTTTCCATTCCTCTCCACGCTTCCTGCATTGACCACCCAGACTCCCAGCCCTTCCCAAAGACAGTACTCCAAATTGTGCCTCTCTTTCTACTCGATCCGGATAGTCGAGTTCACTGAGCGAGGGAAGTCCTAGTACAACAATCGGTTCAAGTGCACTCAAAGAGTTAACTCATGCTACAGTAATGGCGTACCTGGTTGTATATTCCATGTTGCAGACCCTGTATTCCCAGAATCTCGCAATTTCGCAATTATAAGCTATATGTTAATATTATAAAAATACTTATAGATAGGTATAAACCTATATTTGTTAAAGATAGGTGTATATTACCTAATAAGTTGGCGTTTATAGAGAATAAATCCCCAATTTCAAATTGGTCCAGTGGACTTAATACAAAATCTAATTGACGCATAGAATTGTTTATTTATTAATATATTTGAGTATTAATTTATTATTTTCAATAGTACAATTATTGAAATCATCATAATAGTTACTATGATAAATAGAAAACTTCTATTTATTAATTTATTTTTTCTTATTTCTTATTTTATTCATAATAATTTATAAAATATGTTTATATAGTTATAATAATTTATTTATGTAAATACGTGAAATAAAAATACGTACAAATTTTGGTAATATGAATTTAGTAAATGTATATATTAACACTGTTGATATTACAAAAGCAAATATTACTTGATTTACAAATCATTACGAGCGAAACTATCGCAAATAATGGGTCTTGGCACTCTACTGATTGGTTTTGCACCGACTCGGAAAAGACTCGGTTTTAGTTGCCCTTCCAGCTTAGCCCTTAGCCGCCGGGCGTTAATGAATTGTGCTTGTGCCTGCATAATTTCTCGGTTTCTAAGTCGTACCACCTGATCAATTTTGATGAATCTGGACGTGATAAACGTGTTGGGTTCAAAAAGACAGACTGGACATCATGTGGCACGACCCCTTTACAAGTAACGCAGTTCCATCGTGATCAGAGATACTAAATGTTGCTGCTGTTGGTGCGGCGTCTGGATTATTCTGTTTTCAGGTGAATTGTTTATGTGGGGTCACACATTCAGTTTCCACTACGTCTCAAGTATATATCAATGGCAATCTGGCTGGGTGTGCTGGCAATTAGGATATTAAACGAGTTCTTGTGGGAATACAAAACATTCAGATCAACTCTCTTCTTTTAAACCCACTACTGTATAATCATCAAATCTGCGATCAGGAAGGTTGTACTGTATTTATTAAAAAGACCAATTTCCTTGATGGCATCCTCAGATTCGTCCGAGTCCCACGGCTCCACCTTTACCAGAGCAATTATCCCTCCCAGATTCTTCATTTTCTTTCCAATGTATGAGCTTGGTCCATCCTCGTGAACCTGACGATTCTTTCCCAGAGAGACGGCCTGAAGTGAGCATCGACCAGTACCAATGCCCTTTACAATTTTTGGGGTTACAGTAGTTTTCGAAATCAGTTAAACCTCCGCACTCTTGCGACTTCATTCCCGGAAAATAAATCCGAAATCCGCTAACCTTCTTTAGCTTTCCGCTCTGTAAGTTTGGCAAAACAGTACTAGTAATGGTCTTTTGTGATAGATGGGTCATCGTAATAATACCGTAATTCTCAATGGAACGACAGTGGCGCCGCTGAAGTCCGATCCCACCCAACATTTGCGACTTGCTTTAGCTTATCCTCATCTACCACTTACCCTCGTGTTTCTCTGTAACGCATTGGACTGTTGGCTTTCTGACAGAATATATCACACCAAATATGGCACTCGACAATATCAAAAAGACTACTCTCCTGCCTAGGGCTATGGAAAATGCCTCCATGATCTTGGATCACGAGTCATTGTGCGCGATGGGTACATGGGACGCAAACGTCGGCGGGAAACTTCACACGGCTCTGCTGGCCAATAGCGAGACTCGTATCTCTTTACTTGCCGGGATTGAGAGTGGTGCCAAAGCTCTGGCTCCTATGCTTGGCCCCTTTACTCCTGCACGAGGAGACTGTCCGTTCGGCTATTCCAAAGGTTGGTGATTGACTACAAAAGTTTACTCATTAGGAGGAGTTTGGGTTAACTTGCCTGTTCATAGATGGTTACGCTGTCCTCGAGACCACACAATCACCCAGTGAGTTGGAGAACCTCGGCCTCTAGTTACTGTTGAATGTGGCGTCCAAGACCAAGGCGCTTGTAGGTGATGGTGCCACCATTACCGCCCTCCTTGCTCAGTCTATTTTCGTGGAGACTGCTAAGAATGTTGCTGCGGGCTGCAACCCCATGGACCTGTACCTTGGGATTCAAGCTGCTGTTGATGCTGTCATTGAGTTCCTCCAGAATCATAAACTGCAAATCACCTCCAGTGAGCAGATTGAGAACTTCGCTATCTTTACTACCGGAGATGTTTATATGGGCAAATTGATTGCCAATGCCATAGAGAAGGCTGGAAAGGATGGCCTTGTTACTGTGAAGGAGAGCAAATCGTCGAATGATGAGCTTGAGGTCACAGAAGGCGTGTACATTGAATGTGGATCTTCCTCGCCTTATTTCTTTACAGATATTAAGATGCAGAAGGTCGAGTTTGAAAAACCTCTATTTCTTTTCTCTGCAAAGACCATATCCCGTGCACAGGATATCCTTCCTGCTCTGGAGATATCTACTCGCCTTGACCAGCCACTCGTTGTCTTTGCTAATGTCGCTGATGATGCTTTATCTACCTGCATTTCAAATATCTTGTGTCGGAGTCTCCGAATGGCTATCGTGGACATCACTGGGTTCGGTGACAGCAGCAAGTCTATCCTTGGTGATATCGCTGCTGTTACAAATGGCACTGTTTTTACCGACGAGATTAAAGTTGAAGGCGCAACTGCTAGCAGCCTTGGATCCTCCGGCTCTATTACCATTACCAAGAATTACACTATGGTTCTGAATGGTGGTGGCAGTAAAGAGGCTGTTTTTCAAAGGTGTGAAGAGATTCGCAGTGTTATAGCCGATCCTACAACATCCCAGAATGAGCATCAGAAGCTCCAGGGGCGGCTAAAGAACCTCTCCCGTACTGTTTCTATCATTCAGGTTGGCGGAAATTCTGATCTTGAAGCTGGTGAGAAAAAAGATCGTTTAGATCATTCATTGAATGCTGTCCGCGGTGCAGTCGAGGAAGGTATCTTGCCAGGGGGCGGCACTGCTCTGATCAAGGCATGCAGCCAGGCGCTTAGCAGCGTGAATCTGGCTAATTTGGACCAGCAGAGCGGCGTCGAAGTTATTAAGGACGCCATCACCTGTCCCGCACGGACTATTTTCGAGAATGCTGGGCTGGACGGTTCTGCCATTGTTGCGAAGTTGTTGGATGATTTTTACAACAATTTCAATATGGGTTTCGACTGCGTGAGTCGCAAATATGTCGATATGATGCTAGTGGGAATCTGGGACCCTTTTCCCGTTGTCCGGGCTTGTCTTGTCAATGCCAGCAGTATTTTGTCAATGCTAGACACAAGTAAATCTGGAGGCTCCTAAGAAGAATGATCGTATTGGCGCTTTGAACATCAGCACAATCAAAGCAGAGCCGAAGGGGGCATCTGCTTACCCTCTTTATTTAGCAAACTCATAGTTTGAATTCTCGGATGAGGGGTTTGACTTGTTGGGAAGTATCCTGAAATCCAATTTGCATCGGTTTATCGTCTTTTTGTTATGTCGGCCCAAACGATCTCACGATTAGTCATCATCTTGGAAGTCAGTCATCGACCCGACGTAGAGACCCCGCCTCACGGATAATCATTTACTCTGACCGCTCGCATCGATAGTTGGGATGTAAAACACACCGTACAAGGCTACGTACCGATTCATATATTGACCTAGTTGGGTAAAGTAAATTCGATAGCGAGAAGTTGAGTGGCACAGGATGGGCCACAGAGCTAGGATGTGGAGTGGCCGTTCACTAGTATTTAGAACACGGTACTTCCGCCTACTGGCAGAAAGATAGGGGGGAGCTACCATTTCTGAATACTGATGAATGCCGACTGTATGAGAGTTTCACGTAAATACATCCCTCGTAGTCGTATAATCGTATTGTGAAATACACAGACTATTACAGAAAGCGGTCTGAAATGACCTCTGGAAGCTCTTATCCAATCAGAGCTCACATATCACGGATTTATTTTCCGGGAATGAAGTGAAAAGATTGTAGAGGTATAACTGATTTCGAAAACTACTGTACGGTGTCAAACCAATCCCGCTTGTATTCCATAGATTCTGTGCTATATATAGGGCTGCAATACAACATTTGAGGCTTGTACAGCCTGACTGAATCAGCACCATGGTGAGAGCACTGTCTTTTTTTAGGCTAACACTGTATTGAATATCTCGAAGCAGTTATATTCGTAGAAGAACGACCTGACTTCATGAAAAATCATGGTATTTGCGAAGAGTAGATTGGGCACCAGCCTATGATGGATATTCCATGGACTGATACTGTAGGCCTCCTGCCGACAAGGAGATGCTTGTATATCTCGATGCGGATATAGCGGGAAGACTCATAAAACTCGTTCGCATCTCGTTTATTGAAGCGCTGGAAATTTCTGGTGGTGCATCCGAATAGCTTAAGGCTGTCATTGAAGGAATGGAAGAATTTTGACTCAATAGTGATCTTGAGAATACCAGAATGTATGCTGCATGCAATTATCTCTGATGACTCGTAGAATCAATGACGTCATATCAAGGTTTGAGAATTCTCTCTTGTTTGACGTACAGGCAGTAGACCCGACAACTTTAAGGCTCCGACCTAGCATTTCGAAAGATATATATATTGGGACATATTGATCATTGAAAGGTACTAGCTCCCAGTCACGGGCTGTCATATATGAGCAATAATTGACACATGGTAGTACTTTATATGCCGGCCTTGAAATGCTCGCAACGCGGAGAAGAATTCGACGTACGGGGAGCGATCGAACATGTCCGTTGTTTCCATGCTAGTTTCATCAAACGCCCCGGACGCGCTGGTGAAACTGATGCGCACGACCATATGTGGTACTGCTTTGAATGTAGCTCTAGTGTCAAGGATCACCGCAGTTATGATTCTGACAACGCTATGTGGACCCACCTCAGGCACAATCACGATATTATTGTTGATTGTATCATTCCTAAGACGCCGAATTGAATTCACAGACACGACGATTAATCAAGCATCGTTCTGCCCAATTAATAGAGCGGTGACCCTGAACAGGATTCGCGTATATCGGATCGATTGTCCAGGAACCAAGCCCAAAGAGTTTAAGGTCAAACTGAGTTCGAAAACTGCTGCATAACCCCCTGTGGTATGTACTATGGAGTGTCTCTGACCACAGTGGACTTTCAAGTTGGGAATTTTTTCAGTCAAAGGCTCCCGACTAACTATGCCGTGGATGCATGCGAATGGTGCTCATGTCACGTTACACTGGCTCCTTTGTGGATGTTTGACAAGGAGTATGCTTCAGAGATTGAAATTAGTCGGAAACACTGGTTAGAAAATCATATTACGCACTAATCGGATATAAACAGGTCTGAATTGCTACAAAGGCCCTATCTGGCAAATAATGTGGGCATGAAACCGATTAATAAATGCGGATCTATAACTAATGTTTCATAAAGGCCCTGACAAGGCAGAATGTCACGCCAATGCCATTCTCCGTTCCTGACCTAAAGTCCATTGCTTGTTATTGACATATTTGCTTGTGTCGCTTAAATGATGCTATACAGTGCCTCTAGACCAAAAAACACCATGTGTATTTTAAGTCTATATGGTTATTTATTGGTCCGACGGTTCATGATCGTTCGTTGTTAGGCGTTTGTTGCAAGCATACCCACCAGGCCGATACAAAGCATGACGGACCTAGAAAATTGTGAGGGCCGCAAGTCAATATACTTGGTAGGTGGCAGTTGAGAGTGTAACCCACATCTGCAAGGTATCAACGTTTAGGGAAATGGGAGCGGGCCTGAATCGGGTCCACGCCGTTCACAATCAACTTCCGACAAACTATAAAAAGGGCAAGTATGGTTTGGTCCCTTCGCACTTGGAATACACCGGTGGGTCCCGAATCTCTTCCACAAACTTTCACGCCCGTTTATGTCCTCCAACTCCATTTACATAGACTTAGGTCTATCCTACAGCCTACATCCAGTTCTCAGGTTCAATTCAAAGCATGGTTCGCTACATCCACATCATTGGTAGACAACATGGCGTCACCTCGAGTAAAGTAGGTGACGAGATTGGTCGTTTAGAAGAAACCATCAGGCTCGCACTACCAGAAGGATCTAAATGGCATGGAATGTACTATCATCAACGTCGCAAACGGGCCCAACCATGCTGGCTCCGAAAAGAACTTATTTTACATTTGCGGGTCAGAAAGGTCTGAAGCGATTGGATGAGATATGGTATCAAACTTGGATATTTGTGGTCAATCTGGAGATTAAAAGCGATTTTAGGGAAGACCTCTTACGAACTCTCTTCGGGCTACTTATGACTGTGGAAAGGATGGAATGTGCGGATGCAACGGGGCTTGGCGCAGTGACGAAGTGCATGCTTCGAATAAGGAACGGGATTCCTTGGCTGGAGGATAGAGAAGCCAGAAAGGAAGACTCGAAAGGTTGCTTGTATTTCGGAAAATGGTTTGAACTTGGAAGGCATATTTGATGGACCTGCAGTTTGAAAAATGTAAAGAAGAGGGTTGGGTGAGATAAAAGGCCAGGTTATGTCAGTGTCGTTTCCATTTCATAGTATTCTCGAGTATATAGGAAGAGCAATAGCAGCAGCAGCAGTAGTATTCATTTACGCTGACCCCTGCCGAAGTTGGATTACCAACCATAGCCCGCTAATGCAAGGGAAACAACATTTACCAGTGCAATAAAAGCACAATTCACCAGCCTCGCGACTAGATTATTGCTATCAGAAAGGATCAACCGCAATTTCTCTCGCTGTACAGTAGCCATCGGGAACCTAATATTATCATTTCAACGACTGAACCAGTGCTGCAACAAAATTTTTGCTTCTTTTCGTGAGCTGTTCATAACTGGTGATACTGTATTCGTAGGAAATTTGGTAATTTTCAAGTTTTGGCCTAGAACACTCTGTCCAAAACCAACATGCAATACCAACAGGGTAATAGCTTTAGGGCAATGGCCCCAGGCCGTGATATCCGGCGTAAAGAGGGAGCAAATACTGTACAAAAGATTTCAATTTTTCATTCTTTCAAGATCCTTGTCGACGCAGTATAGACTGCCGATGTCAAAGTGCCATTTCCTTCTCAATGCATTCAATCCGCCTTCGAATGCAAAATTCGCCCGTGGAAAGGGCGACTGAGCCCCGCTCCCAACCAGGCCACTTTGTTATTGCTACGAAACGAAGTTGGTTCGTCAGAAAAAATTCCGGTAAAATCTCATTTGATACAAAAAGCTTGCGAATACAGCGAGATGTGTGACCTTGACGTATGCCTCGACAGCCACTTCCGAGGTAGGACGAATATTTTGGCTGTAAGCAGATGCTGCGGGCTTTGGGACTTTATCTGCTCATAGGTAGTACGTAGCCTGCTTTTTTGGGACTGGCTTGAAATAACCTATTAAGAATCTCTCCTTCCACCTCCCTGTCTACTAAGGACATCAAGGCATAGATAAAAAGAGTGGCAATACCGAGGGAAGACAAAGTACTGGTCAACAACCTCGGCGCAGACAGATGAGATTGACAAGGCAGATCAATAGTATGTCTTCCTCAACTGGAAGAAATACAGGAGAAGCTACCGTGACTCAATCCATTCATTGCAAAACCTCTGAAATCCTACATTTTACAAAATAATTTTCTCATGACGGCTTCCAATCAATCGAAGCTGCTGTCCAGCAGGTACAGCTTTTATTTACTGAGAAATCCAACAAGGATGCGGACAGGACCAATCCCAAAAGTTGGGTAAGATTGCTGCTGCGAACTCAATCCTTCTCTGATTGAGATCAAGATAGAATGCAGCAGTTTTGCTATGAGTTTAGCATACTGCATACCTAGTTTCGCGGTATGTGCTGCTGTAACGTTTCATTCAATGGTCAAGATTATGGTATCGTTCGCTCAGGGAATGATCAACTGTTGATGGAACAGTAAACATTCTTCGAACGGTCTCGCGGCAATGTAGATACGCCCTGATCTTTGACAATGACTGGAATGATTTTCCAACAACTGAGCAAGGGCATGTCAGTGAAAACGGTATATGCGATAATGAGACTTGGTCTTGGCAAAAGAACGGGGCCTCTAGGCTGAAAATGGTGTTAGAATATTCAGTAAGATACAGGTGAAAATATGGTGGCGCATAGCTACGGCGCATGATTGAATGTTCACTGTAACCTTGTTACTGAGCTCCCATTGGGAGAAACCTCACTTTGAGAGAGGACGGAATCTTTTGCACTTGGAAATTCTCGACATCATAAATATCATTCACCCACAGCTTGAGAAAGTAGCAAATGAGCAGTATCGAAGAGTCATTTACCTCGTGTCATGACTTTGACAAATTTTACAACATAGGCCATTGAAGGCTTATGCACTCGAGCAGCTAGACCTCCTGGACTCCATTGACACGCTCCGATCAAAGGCATTAGCTATTATGTCTCCCTTCCCCAAATAATCGTCTGTGGGGACCAATCTTCCGGAAAAAGCTCTGTTCTCGAAGCTATATCCGGCGTCTCGTTCCCGGTGAAGAGCAGTCTGTGTACTCGGTTCCCAACCGAATTAGTTCTACGGAAGCACTCACACGTGGGTGTCCGAGTATCGATTGTCCCCCATCAATCTCGCAGTGAGGCAGAGCAGCATTCTCTAGGCAGCTTTTGTGAAGAACTCGATGGATTCGATGGCCTTGCAAACTTGATAAAAAATGCTAAAGCAGCAATGGGGATATCCACTCACGGCAAAGCATTCTCAAATGACCTCCTGCAGGTTGAAGTCTCAGGTCCTGATCGGCCACATCTCACTATTGTCGACCTTCCGGGTCTTATCCATTCAGAAACACGACAGCAGTCCGCAGCCGATGTCCAATTGGTCCAAGACGTCGTTCAATCATACATGAAGGAACAGCGAAGTATAATTCTTGCGGTCGTCTCCGCAAAGAATGACTCTGCAAACCAGATTGTCCTACGTCTAGCGCGGGTTGCTGATCCAGCTGGACTCCGGACAATAGGCGTCATCTCCAAGCCCGATGTGCTTGTTCCGGGATCTGAGAGCGAGGCTCCGTTCGTGTCACTTGCTAAGAACCAAGACGTGGAGTTCCGTCTGGGATGGCATGTTTTAAAAAACATGGATTCAGAGAAGGGTCAATGGAATTTAATCAACCGAAACATCCAAGAGTGCGAGTTTTTCTCCCAAGGCATCTGGAAAAGGACTTCCTCGATCACTTGTGGGTGTGGACTCTTTGAGAACTCGTCTTAGCAGTCTGCTTCTTGGACAAATTGCAAGCGAACTTCCGAGCCTGATCGACGAGATAAATGAGAAAATCAACTCTTGTCGGTTACAGCTCCAGAAACTTGGCGATCCTCGTGCAACAGTAGATGAACAACGGACACATCTGTTACATATCAGCCAAGCCTTCCAATCTCTTGTCAAAGCAGCTGTGGACGGAACTTACAATGAGCCTTTTTTTGGAGATGCGAAAACGACCGCTGGGTACCAAAGGCGTTTCCGAGTAGTTATTCAAAATCTGAACGAGCACTTCACAAAAAATATCTCTCTGCGAGGCCATTTACGCCGCGTCCTCAAGTCAGAAGATCAAAGCAATGTGTGCAAGCATCAGATACGTGTTACTCGAGAAGAGTATATCAAACATATAGAAACGCTGTTGAAAAAGACTAGGGGTTGAGAGTTACCTGGGACATTCAACCCCATGATCGTGAAGGACCTATTCCAAGAGCAGTGCATCCCTTGGGAAGACATTACGCAAAACCACATTGACGCAGCTTGGAGAGCTGCAAGGGACTTCCTCCAACATGCAGTGTCTTACGTGGCAGACGGAGCTACTTCGAAAACTTTGTTTCACAAGGTGCTTTTGCCGGCTCTTGGAGGTTTACGGCATACACTAGAGAAGGCAAGCGGAAGCTTCCTGATGTCGCATCAACGAGGCCATCCGATCACTTACAATCACTATTTCACCGAATCACTCCAAGACACTCGGGCCGATCGCCAGAAAGAAGCTTTTCGCGAAGCTCTCCAATCATACTTTGGTGTTGATTCTCTCTCGACCTCCCACTCTGTGGAGCATCCCATCAATCTCCGAGGCCTATTTAACACCCTTCTTCAGAAAACTGTGCCAGATATGACACGTTTTGCCTCAGAGGAGGCGCTGGACTGCATGCTTGCCTACTACAAAGTAAGTCCTGTGAACTGCATACCTTTCTAGGCACCCAACTAACCAGTGAACCCCGTCATAGGTTGCATTGAAACGATTTGTGGACGATATTGCCACTGAAGTGATCGAGGTCAAGCTCCTCAGCGAACTACCTACACTCTTTACTCCCATATCTGCGTTTGAGATGCCCAAGGAGCTGGTCACACAAATCGCTGGTGAATCGGAGGAAAGTCAGAGCCTCAGAGAACAATTGAACAAGAAACTATGGGTCCTCACAAAAGGTTCTGATACGTGTCGGCGCTTCGTGGGTATCAGAGGGCTTGGTAAGGGAAAATGAACCCATGCTGGGTAATTGCTTGCGCTGACCAGGTCATTAGATCCTAACGATACAATAGATGATAAGAAACCACAAGGCCTGACAGCACTATCTGATAAGTCTTATTGCTCAATTGAACTTTCCGAGGAAGATGTTGCAATCGAATCTGAATCCGACAACGAGCATCCCACACCACGCAGTCCTGCGATACCTGATCAAACTGCCAAAACAGAATTTGACCATGAAGGCCATACCACAGAGCCGGAACAACTCTCCGCTGCCCATGTTCGAGCGACAATAATCAAAAGGGGGAAGAAGAAGGAAAAAGCTGCTGCCAAAATGCAATCCCCTGTCGAGCCCGAATTTGAGTATCCGGCGTAGAAACTTTATCAACGATATACTGACGGTGGTTCGGGTCACAAAAATGGATTGAGCTGGGAGACTGAGTATTTAGCTGGTTAAAATTGTGTATCCTGGAGGTTTTATATTCCGTACGGTTCGAAATGGAAGTTATAATTCGTTGTATCACATAGTCGATTACAACCGACCGTATTGTATAGTATCTGTAGATTTCTTCAATCTTCAGCTCCGTTTGGAGGCGCTACGGACCTAACCACCAGATCCGATTTTGTGGTCCTTCAGTAATCCTCTCGTGCGCATAGCGTGCGGTGTTCTAGCTGTTTGCGACGACCCACAAAATCGCCACTACATAAAACATGCCCCTCCTGCCGCCAAAAGGTCCGCCGTCAAAGACTGCCTCATCGTTTTGTTTGCTACTGCCGAGGTACCAACCGAAGCCCAAGAATAGGAAGCAGCAGAGTCCGCATGACGTGCGACTGATGAATCGGCCCAGATCATGACAAAAATGCTGGATTACTTAAAACACTGGTGACTACTCAGAAGTATTTGGCGTAATTCCGGCTGATAAAACAACAAAGACGCCTTTTTCGTCAATACCAGCTCTTCAATTACATGCACACTTGTTCGTCGCGGGTGATAAATATTCAATTCCGAAGCGTTGTCACATGGCCGCAGCAAAGTACTCAACAAGGGCCCTAAATCGATTTGACACTGTGGAATATCTTGATTCAACGCCTCATGTCTTCTTCTCGCCATGGAGTCATAATAGCGGACTCAAAGAACTCGCCATCCGCTACTCAAGAGACCATCTCGTGTCCCATTTAGCGACGCATCCATACGCTCCAAATACGATTCAATTGCCACCCAATTGCCAGATTTCGTGAAGAACTTCTCGAGACATTTTTCAAGGCTCCTTTGTTAGGGAATTGTGAGAGTTGTGGCCACCGTAGACCATTATAGCCATTGCAGGTTAGATGTTGGAGGTGTGGTGGAGGGAAAGGGATGTAGAAGTTGTGCTATATGACCCTAAATTATTATAGGCTACTTCGTCAGAGGCGGAAGAAATATACTGTCCTTGAAGAAATGAAAACTCTTGCAATTCGGTAAACAAAAATATTAGCGGGTAGAGAAATTGTCGCGTTTGCCTGGAGCAGAGGGCATGACAAGCAGCTTCAAGGCCACGATCCTTCCGGGAAGCCTCCTATATCTTTCCAATTTTTGAAATTAACTTAAGACGAGCCGCTGATACCTCGGAATTTCGACTCCAATCTCTCTTGCATTCACCAAATCGTGCCCACTCAATAACAGTGCTATCCATCATCGCTATCGCTAGGTCAAATAAGAACTGCGGTACTGATTGCAGTAAAGAGTTTTGGAAGGGTGCTGGATTTTCTTCATCTTCAGTTCTCAGCTGTGTGAGATGATGCATAGTTACTCTGACTGCCAAATGTCGCAGTCCTCTGTCCTGTGATGGAGTCGACTTACAGATCTCCACTATTGCGCTAGGAAAGGAATTTGCATCAAGTCATTGTAGCAGCTCTTGTTCGACTTTTCTTTTGGAAAGTCCTTTGAGACCTTCGATAAACATTCGATCTGCAAGAGCGTACATTAAAATGTGAAATGATAGGGGATCGTAACCAGAAGAGGCTAAGTCACTTGTTGATTTTGGCGTATCTTGGGAGTCTTGGTCTCCTGGAATGGCCATCTCTTGATAGGCGAAATCTGTCTCGGATTGCCAGGTTTGGTCAGGGCTGTCGGTATAACTTAGACAGTCGATACTGTGCAGGGAACCAGAACAGGTTGAGTCCATTATAGCACGCAGGCCAAGCATTCTGGCCGGTCATGCCCCGCTACAAGTCACTTGCATGCTTCTGGTCGTCTTGGAAGAGCTCCTAGGATATCCTGGGCTCCCTAGAGCTCCCAATCATGATCCCCGGGGTGGAGACACTGTCTCCAGGAACATGCAATTGGCTCTCAGGAGCCGTCTTTTAGAATAGGAGTCCTGAGAAGCCATATCCAATATAAAAGTCTCAGAACCCTCCTAGAAAAGCAGACACAAGTTCGCCTCATCCACACTATAAGAGCTTATCTTCCACAATGGTCGGTTCAATGTTGCTGCTGAGAAGTCTCAATTCTTTAGTAAGGGTATTGGCTAATTTCCTGCAGGCAATCCTCCAAAGCCTACCAAACCAAATTCTCATGCTCATTGCCACTCAGCTAAACGTTCGTGACATGGTCTCCTTGGGCAAATCATGTTGGAATCTTTACCACAGATTACAGCCCAGCATCCTCAAGTACAACATTGAACACCAGAACAGCAATCTCCTGCACCTGGCAGCCAGAGACAACGACTATGCTCGGGCCGAGCTCATGCTTCTTTATGGTGCCAATGCCAACACCTTCCTGCANCGGGGCCTGACGGGTTGATTGCCATGCGCAGAGAGTGAATTTCGCGAAGGATCTCATCGTGGCCGTTCTGAGAGCAAGGCTCGGAGAGGGCTTGCGGTGTCGGGGGTCTGTCTGCCAGGGTCTGTAGCTCCTGTCGGACTTCTGCAAGGGTTGCGCTGAATTCCTCTTTGATTTTTTGCAGCTCTTTCTTATGCAGATCATCGCGTCGTCTAATCTCTTTCCTTAGCTTCACAAGCTCTTTCAAGAGATCGGTAGCGCTCAAGTCCTCGCTCTCCGTCGAGGAGTCGTCTGAAGATACTGCGTCGTGCTGGGGTACTGATTTGCCTTGACGTCCCTTTTTCGATTGGGCGCGTGTCTTTCTCTGCTCGGTGTCAATCTCTTGCTCTTGAGCGTAGTTATTCGGTGGTCTTGTGGTGCGTCGCGGCCTCGCTAATCTTGGGGGTGAATCTTCGTGTTCGTCGCGGTCGGGCGGCTCAGGGGTTCGCGTCTCGGCCCGTCCCGCCATTTTTCTTTCTCGCGTCGCTCACGATACAGTCCCACTCAAGAGGAATCTCCGGATTGGGGTACCCCTACTGTCCTTATTTCGTACAGTATCTGCCTTATTTCGTACAGTCCCGTTCGCACCGAGATGAAAAAACCCGCCTCTTGGTCACCACGAGGTACCAACGGCTAGTACAGTCGTTCTCGAAATCGGCTTAACCAGTACACACTAAGACTCTCTTTCTCGGCCCCACCGCCAAGGCCCTAGCGCAGATCATTTATTGAGCAGACCATACAGAGTAGAGGGCCGCCGTAAATTGCACCTGGTATGATACGGTATCTAGCAAGGTAACAATACACCGGTCTCATGAGAATCCGGTCGACTTCCATGGAACCCCAGAGTGGATCTCTGATCGTCAGAGAGCCGATTAGGCGCCCCCTTCCCCCTCCCAAAGGTGCCCCTAACTTTCCTCTCGGATACCTAGCATGTATTCCCTTTGCCAGTAGTCACTCCTGAAAGGTGTCTCCTTGGCTTAGGGATCATCTATTCAAACGATTGATTTCATCGGTAGAACAGTGTTAACGACAGGTTCTGTTGTTTGCAGGCGAACAACAGCCTTTTCGGCAGCCGATGGCGTAGGCCTCAACTAATAATCACTAACCATAAGTCTGTCGCTACAGTTGGCCCATGAAAATGAGGTCTAGTTCGTTCATTCGTTATGATGATTACGACGTTCAACAAAGTGAACCGTTTGACCGATACAACGATGCATGGCAATATGCACCGACACCTGGCAACTTCGATCGTTCTCCTGCCTCTCCTTCAAATACAAGCTGTACAAACATCGACCCTACCTCCCCCATCGATCACCCCTCTCAGCAACGAACTGCTGCGCAAACGAATAGCCTTCCCTTGCTCCAATTCGGTGACTAGGAGGAAGGTCGGACGTATGATGAGGATCCACCAACCTATATTCACTACCTAGTTGAATGGAAGGTCACTCTCAATAACAGAACGGTGGCGAAAGATACGGAACAAGATCTGGTTCTAGCCCCTCGGTTTCACTGGCGACTCTTTCTGCAGCCGAAGCTCAAGGAACTACTTATTCGAAAATACCCACAGCGGAAACTCGAATCGGATGATACCTCTGTAGTCGTATCGGCCACGCGACAGAGAGGCCTTTCCCTAAGATTCGATAGGACGGATATTGATTGGTCATCTATAGAGAAACAGCTATTTGATTAGGGAGATATTTTTCTTGCTGGCAAGAAACTGAGACTTATTATCTCATTCAACTATCTAGAGAGCTCCCAAAGTTCAACTGTCAGTCGCCGGACAACTAATAAACGAGGAGCTTCATCTGCCACTCAGCGCATGCTTGAAGAGCGAGACCAACAACTCCGCGCCGAGGAAGAAGTCACTGGCGAGCCCCCCGCTTAGAAAGCGGTATACGCTTTAATGCGCTGTCCTGGATCTTACGATCTAGGTCCGCACTGCTGGCAGGATCCATATAGGAAAAAGCACTACAAGCTTTACCGCGATCAGCTGGAGAATCTAGTTAAGTACGTGCAAAGCGGTGGACTTTTACAGTCACATAAAGATGTGCCTAGCATTATTCGGGAACAAATATACAGAGCAGAGAGGCAACGGCTTAAACGCCCTCGGCCTCATAGTCGCACTACGTCCGACTCAAGCTGCCCTCCCATCACTATCACAAACGTCCTTCCGGCCCAGACCCCACAGGGAGCCGGTTCATCTACGTCCACGTGTCCAGACAACACTAATACTTCCTCGATGGAACTCCCTAATCTTCATATTTGTGGCCTTCTCGATGTCGCCGTGAGGGAATACAGTACCTAGCAACAATCACGTTTAAGTGAAGAGGCATTAAAAGCAGAGGTGAGAAAGGCATGCGAGGTAGCCTTAGATGATAGGCTAGACCTAGTACAGATTGATGAGGACAAAAATCCTGATTACTTCACGAAGCGTAGGGTCAAGTGGGGTATTACTCGGCGTTTCGTCAAGGACATTAGGTTCTAGGCGGAGAATATAGGGGCAGATATACCAGCTTAACGCCAGCATCCGAGCACATCCGCTAGATATTCTCCGTCCGGTGGAAAGAAGCGTTATCCATAATAAGAACAGACTTAGGCGCTGGCCACCGGTTACAGTGCTGAAGAAGTTGTTCGATAAAATCCTCAAAAACATCGGCATCCGTAGAGCCTTAGGAAACCCGTCGTAGGACGACCCCATCCTAAGAATATGCAGGAAGTATCTAATAGCGTCTATCGCGATAGAAATGGGAAACCTGAACCGGCGTAACCCCGAGAGGGGACCAGCCAGTTCGTCGAAACCCAGCCCTTTTATCACAACCTAACTCATCCACAAAAACCAGATGGTACGACCGAAAACTAGATAGGTTACGGAGGTAGAAATCGCGTAACTCCGCATTTTGTTCCTTCGCAACTTATCGAGCAGCTTTCTTAGACCACCCTACGGACGCAAGCGCCCGGCTAATGCTTTGAATCGACACATGTTTCCCAAATTCATCCCAGAGAAAGAGGGCCATTTCGTCTTGATATAAGGCCGGCTTCTCCATTAAATGTTCGCAAAGCGCTTCTAGCATAGGTGGTGTGATACTCCGCGGTCGTCCAACGCCATTTCGAGGGGCTCTAACGTTCCCGAACACTCGCAGGTTGGAGCATATGTAGAGGATAGATTGTTTGCTACAGTCCGCGGCACGAGCCATCTGAGACGATGTTAGCGAATTACTCTGGATCATATGATGGATAAATTCAAGACGATGCGATTTCAAATTCGGCGCCATTTTGGTTAGTGTGAGGTGGTTATACCTCCTGCTGCTACGTGGACTCTCGACGCGAGATGAGAAGCTCCCCTATGGACCGAGAATAATCCGAATCTAATGACATCATAACTAAGATATCTAGTGCTGGCAAGTGGCGCTGAAGTGACCGTGGTCGAGGCTGGTTCGGGCCGACAGTCCTTCCGATGGCGGGACCAGAAGCTGGTATGCAGACACGCGATTCGTGTCACTTCAGGTCGTTTAACCCCACACGGTCGTTCTGAGTGCCTAAGGTTGCTCTGTTTCCATGAATCATGGGTTCAACCGCATCATTCCGTGGCTCCAATTATGGATCACAGATAGGGGCCAACTACGGTTCGGTCACAAACGAGTTTCATCTTCCATGGGGTATTCTATGAGGATCTTTGTGTAATGTCGATCATGCTAACCCTCTATGCAGATCTTGACGACAAGTTATCCCCTGTGTCTGGGGCTGCGTTCGATTCATACGTAGATCAGCATGAAGATCAATGTCTTCCAGGCACAAGAACGGATCTCCTCTACCAGATCAGCGAATGGGCTTCGTCTCCACAGGGCAGATGCATATTCTGGTTGAATGGAATAGCAGGAACAGGAAAATCGACCATCTCTCGAACCATGGCAAAATCATTCAGCCTATCCCAATCACTTGGAGCGAGCTTTTTCTTCAAGAGAGGCGAAGGGGATCGAGGGAATGCAAGGAAACTTTTCCCGACAATCGCAAGTCAACTGGCGATCAATATTCCTGAGATCGCCCTAGTCCTCCAGGAAACAGTCCGCGAGAACCCAGGTATCATAACAAAGACAATGCGGGAACAATTCGAAAAACTCCTTCTTCAGCCACTCCACAGCCTCGAGCGATCTAAAATGCCTACCCAGAACATAGTGATAGTGATTGACGCATTAGACGAATGCGAGAAAGATCTTGAGATTCGATTGATACTCCAACTTCTCCCACGGCTAAAAAATATAGCTGCTATGCGTCTACGAGTGCTTTTAACAAGCAGACCTGATCTACCGATTCGTCTGGGGTTTTTAAGGATTGCGGACGATGACCATACTGACTTTGTTCTTCATGATATCCCTCTTGAAGTGATCAAGCGTGACATATCGCTATTCTTTGATCACCGATTAATAGAGATCAGAACAGAACGCTTCCTACCATCAGACTGGCCGGGCGACGAAGGTCTACAAAAGCTAGTGGCATTATCTGCTCCGTTATTTATTTTTGCCGCCACTATCTGTCGGATATTTGAGGAACCTGACTGGGATCCGATAGACAGTCTCACTGAGATTTTGGCAGGCCAGAACGACCACTCTAAGCTAGATAGGACGTATCTTCCAATTCTTGATCGTCTTCTCGACAGACAACACGAGAAACATAAAGAAAGACTGGTTTCCGAGTTCCAGCAAGTAATCGGAGCCATCGTGACACTAGAGAGTCCACTCTCGGTTCCCTCACTTGCAAAGCTTCTGGACCTTCCGGCGCGGCTTATTCGCCTTCGACTAGACCCACTACACTCGGTGCTAAGAGTGCCAGAGAACGAAACGATACCCGTGCGGCTTTTTCACTTATCATTTCGAGACTTTCTTCTTAATCCACAGACCCGGAAAAAAACGCCTCTAGGGATAAACGAGACAGAGATGCACTATAGGTTGGCCAAACAATGCCTCCTGATGTGTCAAAGTCTACGGAAAAATATCTGTGGCCTGCCAAGTTATGGAACCGAACGTACAGAGATTGATCTCCAAATTGTCGATAGTAACCTTCCTCCGGAGCTACAGTACGCCTGTCGATACTGGGCATACCATCTGATGAAATGCGCCAACTCGGAAAACATGACATATAGTGCTCTATTATTTCTCCAGAGGCATTTCCTACGGGAACATTTCCTACATTGGGTGGAAGCAATGGGCCTACTCGGTCTTACGTCGGAAATACTAGGCATTCTTGATCGGCTCCAAGCGGCCATATCGGTAAGTTGCGCAGGGAGGTCATATCGTTCACACTAACAGCTCTAGGGCAATGACCCTCCTTCAACATCAGATTTTCTTCACGATGCAAAGCGATTTATTCTGAAAAACTACCAGATTATTGATCTTGCGCCCCTTCAAGTTTATTGTGCAGGCCTTATATTTGCACCCCAGACAGCAATAATCCGTGCACAGTTCAAACGAGAGATTCCAACTTGGATATGCCAGTTACCACGAGTCGAGGAAAGATGGGGCCCAGAACTACAGACTCTCGAAGGCCATTCGGGCTCGGTTCTCTCGTTGACCTTCTCACCAGACGGCCGGCTGCTGGCGTCCGGCTCTGACGATGAGACGGTGCGGCTCTGGGACCCGGCGACAGGCGTGCTCACCCAGACGCTCGAAGGCCATTCAAATTCGGTTGAGTCGGTAGTCTTCTCACCAGACGGTCGGCTGCTGGCCTCCGGCTGTAACGACACGACAGTACGGCTCTGGGACCCGGCGACGGGCGTGCTCACCCAGACGTTGGAAGGCCATTCGAGCGCGNTTAAGAATATCAGACAGTCGAAGCCGAGATGACTCCAGTGCCTGGTCAAAGAATTGCAACCGAGCAATTTGATCATCGTGACGCGACTGCATTTTGTTCCTCTCGTCGGTCATATATCGGTGAGTCTCTCGTAGACCGTGATTCGCTTTGGCCAACTTGCTTCCCTCTATATGCTTCGATGTGCACGACTCCCACAAGCGCCGATACAGTCCGACGATTCTCGCGGCTTGGAACGCAAGTTTAGGGTCTTCGCGTTCGAGCCGCGCGAGAGCTTCCATAGCAGGCTCAAACGGCTGATCCATCAAGGGAGGTCTCTGTGGATCCTCGGGCTGTCCAACGGTGGTCAGCTCAATCATCAAAATGGTCGTGCTTTCCCTACTCACAGCAGATGGGTCAGAGGGTGGATCGACCGTAGTCTGCGGGTTGTCTTGATTCTCGGGGGCAGTTTTGCCAGTCGGAGGATGGTCATTTGGGAGCTGATCCTCCGCATGGTCTTTGACAGGTCGGGCATGAGAAGCGTCCATATTGAGTCGAGCGTGATCGTGGAAGATGCCTTTGCTGCTTCGCGACGCTGCACGAGAAGTTATATCTTTTCGATGTACGTTTCAGTGAACTAAAATAGAAATTGCTCCAAAAGAATAACTGCAAATGCAATTAAGCGTAATATTGGGGTGGTCAAACGTTGATAGTGTGAATCAACGGACTAATTCCCCGGTGAAACGATCACCTTCCCCGCTCATGCCCACGCAGCTGCGCATGAATGAGGCCAGTTGAATCAGATTCTTTACACGGCTCAATGTTTTAGGAAAGCGGATCTACTTGCAACAGCTGCACATCCCGTACAGTACAGCATTTGCTAGTTACTGCCTCATCCTAGCTATGTTCAATACCTTATCTTGCTAACTTGCCTTTCACGTATGTCTCCCAACTTATTCAAGGCCTGATGTTCGTGCCTCCAGAGATTTTTGAATCTACCCATCAGCCAATGCATTCACAGGTTAAGACAGCACCCCCATCGGCGGAGGATAATGGAGAATACCACACTGGTAAGGAGTCATGGTCTACTCCGCATACAGCGATTGAATCAAGCACATCACTAAACGAGCCATGCAGAATGGAATCTTTCCTACCCTTCGCAGGGCCCCTGTCAATGGCCGGTTCTCCAAGCTGGTCACAGCCAAGTCGCAGTACACTGGATCGGCTTCCTAGGCAACATCTGGCCCAGTATGGAATTTTCCATTCATGCATATGCCAAGCAAGCCCAGCATCAGAATCCGGTATGGTACAAAGACGACTCTGGCTCGGAGCCTAGAGTTGAAGTCTTCGCGAGAAACTCCACTGCCGAGTCATGTAGTGTAGCCATGCTGAATAGGAGCGACATTGCCTTAATTGGGACGCCCGACAGTGAGTGGAGGACGACCTCCTGGAACGACTTTGAGGAATTCACACGCCTTGTCTTCTGTGGCAACCAGGGATACTCGAGTCACAGTCGCAACAGCATACCCTGGCAGTTTAAGCGGCGATAATTCAAATGCAGCATTGCGGGATGTAAAGGTCGCTTTCGCTACTTCCAAGGCCTTCAGCGTCGTCTGTCCGGCCACTTGGCGGGAAAACCTCATTCTTGCTGGGTTCCGGGGTGTCGGCGCAGCTTCTCGCGTCGCGATAACCTCAAAGCTCATTATGCCACGCAACAGAATAATGATAAAACAGGAGACCAGCCTGGCATCGTCCAACCTGATGCACGCTTTGGAGGGGGCCTTCGAAGACCTCAAGACGAGTGATAGAATGCCTACGTGTCTACCCTTGATCCAACTAGCTCTGCATACGACCCTTGTTTCCGCGGACAGCTGACGTCCGATGGCTTGCCAGTCAGAGGGGTAAACATGGGCTTGCCCGATATTTGCACTGGGTTTGCCATGAGAGCAGGGGGATTGAAGTATCTTTTTGGTGACGCGTTATGTTAATAGCGGACGCTAGAGGCGATCGGTGGAAGTGCGGAGACACGAGCTGCATCCAGGCGACGCGACGCGAGCCCTCTCTACTTGGGCGAACCTGGTTTTTGCAGCCATATTTGAGCATTAAAATAACACGACACAGGAAGTTAACACAATATGAACACTGAATGGCCAGATCCGTGAGAGGAAACTGATCGAACACAAAAAATCTAAATATCGTTCGGAAATGACGACGCGTGGAGGATTCGAACGTGCGACCCCAATTAAGGAGATAACCAGTACAGTAGGCCGAAAATCACTACGTTTTCTTTCGAGGCTGTTATTACTGAAAGATGGTCTTTCTCTGATAAGCATCGACCACCCACAATTGCGAAAAGTTCTAGATAGGTTTGTATTCTTCTTCGGTCTCAACTGCAATTATTCAGGCCAAGGAAAGTTGTTCAGAAAGGCAAAGTCTGTTCAAAGAACGCAGTCCTGCAAATTGCTGGCACCTACGACCACCCCCAGGTGTTGGTGCTGTGTAGAATATGCATTCGAGTTAATGAAGGGCAAGATATATTTTGTCCATTTAGGTCTAAGACGCATTACAGTATCATGCAGCCATGAATCTGCGTACAGGATTACCCAGTACACTACAAGAAACATGCGAACCATTCAAAATTCAAGAGCTAAGATTAAATAATTCGCCATTCAACAATTTAATGGATCCTACCGGATCTGGTTGTGCCTGTTGTGGTTCCTAATGTTAGAAAGCGCGACCGCAAATTAACACCAATGGGTCCTAATTGGCAAAGCCGCAATTCGTATCACCCATGTTTATTTGCGAAGTGTGAGCCGCCAACTATTCCAGTCTACCGCCTCAACCATGTAATAGTCGCCGCACAGAAATGTAATTTTGATGTTGCGAGAGCGGTCGTTGAGTCAACCGGTGCTGCAGTGAACAAAAAGCCTCGTTGGAGGACCAACCATCATCAATCATTGGATTGACCGTCACCGTTAATTATGTGTGTGTGAGATACAATGTTTGGCAGCCAAGTACGACGTCATAAAAGCGATCCTGACAAGCCGGTCTCAGCCTGCCTGCTGTTGAAAAGCGCCGTAATGCACACTTAGCAAATGATAAAGTAACTTGTGCAGGCGGGGTCTTGTGCCTAACGGACAAATATTTGCGGCGCCAGGGATGAGCCTGGTTCACCGCCTGGTGATTCACAGTTTCAACGTTTCACCACTTCCGTTTATCAACGCAGCGTCCTCACCATCCTCACTATCCTCACCGTCCTCACCATCCTCACCGTCAACACCGTCAACACCATCAACACCGTCCTACCGTCCTCACCATCAACACCGTCAACACCGTCAACACCATCCATACGGTCCACACGTCAACAAGCATCTAAATATCCGTGAATTACAAGGAGACACCGCCGTGAACAAATGCTTCTAATACTGATGGGTCGCCTGTGATCTAATTGTCTCCATTCGATAAGACAATATTGTATGTATGATCGTTCTTCTCGTGCGATTTAAGGATTTCCACGTAGTGTCCTCCTTAAATTGGAATTTCAGTGATGGAGCTTACAAGATCTATCTCTACATTAGGACAAGTCAGAATCGAGAATTTGTCTTCATTGCAATGCTATCGATTTCCCCCATGGTTCGGGCTACATGGTCCGGGCTACATAATGTACCCAGAGATGAGTCGTGCAGGTCTTGGCTTCTTCAAGGACGGCAGCAACACTTGAATACTGGTCCCTAGCACCACGGAGAGGTGCCTGCATGTCGCTAGAGGATCATGGTGTAGACCCTGGCCCCAGGTCCTACCCGATCGAGCACACTTTTACAAACACAGGGCTCATGGTCTGTGAGGGAGGATGTTGGTAAAGCAGGCCTCAAGCTGCGAGGATTTTGTTATCACAGATCCTAAACTGCGGAGTTCACTTCGTGACGCAACGCCCCCCTGCGAGGATTTTGTCATCACAGTTCCTATCTGCGGAGCTCACTTGTTATCGCAGCGCCCCCCTGCGGAGTTCACTTCGTGACGCAGCGCCCCCCTGCGGAAGTCCTTGGTTGCGCAGCTTTTCCCCTGCGGAGGTCCTTGGTTGCGCAGCGCTCCCCTGCGAAGTCCCTTGGTTGCGCAGCTCTTCCCTGCGGAGGTCCTTGGTTGCGCAGCGCTCCCCTGCGAAGTCCCTTGGTTGCGCAGCTCTTCCCTGCG